TATATATTATATATATATATAAAGGATTTGATTTTAAGATTTGATTCGTGAATGCTGTAAAAAATGAGTTTTAGACAAAAATCAATTCATCATTGTTAATTTTTTTAAAATTTAAAATCAATTATATCTATAACTATTATAAAAGGGATATAGGAGATGTAACCGCTTTTTAGTCTCCATTTTTTAATGGACCATTATATCTCAGATGTAAAAAAAAATTAAATTTTCTTTAAATAATTATACACAACTTTATAGTATTTTATTAATGAATAACTATTAGAGGCACGAAATGCCTCTACCCCTCTAGTATAAATAGGTTCGAATAAACTCAAATAGTAAAGCGGAGTTACCAAAATTAAAAATATTTTATATTTATTATAAATTAATTTTATTTATTTAATTAATATATAATATAATCTAGAAGCAGTAAATATAATATAATCTACAAATTATATTAATTATTATAATAATATTATATATTAATTGTTTTACAACAATTTTTATGTTAATATTAAAATCATAATTAAAGTTTTTATTAGTAATTATAATTATAATATTATTTATCATATAAATACGTTTAACTTAAATTATTTATAATATATATTAGTTCAATCAATAAATTAAAAGTTTTTTTTAATTTTTGAATTTAAATTTAAATTGTTTTTATTTTATTAATATTAATCAAATGACAATAATAAAACTTAATGGGTATCAAAATAAAACGAAAATATGTATCATTCTCATTTACTAATAATCTTCATTTATTGGTATGATAATAAAATAAGAATATGTATTGATAAAATTTATCATTTTTAACAAACCGATTATTATTAGGGAAATTGTCAATCATATATACTGTCTATAAAATTTTTTTTCCATATTATTCTTTTTTTGAAAAATTAAAATATTAAAAAAATTGATATTTTCGTATATTTACTTGTGTTTTAATAATTTTTATTATTAATTTATTTTATAATAATAATTATATGTAAAAATGTTTATATAAAAATGTTAAAAATATTGTTTTAATTTTATTAATCAAATGACAGTAATATCAACTCAAATTAATGTTATTTGTGCAATTTAGTCAAAAGTAATGGTAGTATACATAATTATTAATGTTTTAAATCCATAATAAATATATTAATTAAAATATTAGTCAGGATAAATAATTTGGAACCGTTAATTTATTCAAACTTTTTTTCTTAAATTTTGATATAAAACGGTTAATATTTGTTTAATTATAATCAAGATATTTATATTATTTATTTTAATATTTGTATAATTATTAAAATTATAATCAGTAGCCGTTGTTTTTCTTTAATCTTCAAATAAAACCGTTAATTGATTATGGCTAACTAGTTACTGCTCTAATTGAAATGTTATAATTATTATGGTTTTTTTTTTTAGAGGAATTATGGTATTTACAAAATCATTAATTGACTATTATGATTATGATAACAATTTTTTTCTTTAATTTTGATATAAAATGTTAAATGATTATTTTCAAGTAGCCATCGTTAAAACTGAAATGGGAGATATTGAAATATTATTATGTACGATTATTATGTTATTTGATTGATATTATTATTAATGAGGTATTATTTTGATATATTTGTTTATTTATTTATTTTCAGTAACATTTTATTTATTTATTTATTGATATATTAATAATTAACGATTATTAAAATATTTTAATACAAATTTTTTTGTTAATTTTGATATATATATTTTTATAATATATAAATATTGGAAGGAATTATTGAAGATAAATTTTATATATACAAAATGTAGTAGTTATTAATACTTATTATAT